CATTTAAAAATCTCATAAATAGCATTAGATAATTCATTTTTAATTAAAAATGAATTATCTAATGCCTTCAATTGAAGGAAATTTAAAAGAAAAAATTCACGTTTCTTTAAAAAACAAAACAATCGCAAAAGAATCGCAATGAAATAGAGAAAATATTTTCATGCAATTTTTACAAAGACATGATTTTTGATGATGATACAAAAACAAAGTATCAATTGGAATTGATCATTTTGTATATTAACAAGACTTTAAGAGGCTCAAACCAAAATCAAAATATTTTTTTTATAATAATTAATTCGTTATTAGCAAAAGATAGCAATGATTGATTAATAATATTATTGAAATTATTTTATAAATAGAATTTGTAAAAATTGAAAAATTTTTTTTTTATTAATATCTTAAATTTTAAATCAATCAATCTTAATCTATTGTTTTAAGATAAATGTCATGTACAAAAAGCACATGTCTCATATAACAATAAAACATTATCGTATACACGCTAGTATGTTAAAGACTGTTAAACATAATGCATTCCAAACTTTAAAGAACATAGTTTAAGATATTGTGATGATAACCTTGTATTTATATTTTATAATATATAAGGTAAATTTTTATTTATAGAAAAGGAAATTCAAGTTGTTATGACTACCTCTTTTTTTCTTAACGAATTTTCTACACAGAACCTAAGAAAAATCTTAGTTTAACAGTTTCCGCCTATCTATTTCTTTGACTGTTTTAAAACAATTATTATACTCTTTAAAAGAGTGAGCCAGAATATTACCAATTTGTACTAGATTCTGGATTAGTACTAATCCCGATTTGTACTAATCTAAAATTTTCGGAATTACATAAAATGAAATCCGGAATTCCGGTATAATTCCAGAATTATTGCAAAAAAAATTCAAAAGGAAAAGTAATTTTTTAAAATATTTTAAATTAAATAAAATTTAATTTTTAGTTATGAATTTTAGTCAAATTCAGTTAGGGAAATGAAATGTATATATAAAAATATTTTATATAAAAAAAATACAGAAAATTATCCAATATCGGTAATATTAATGCTTGACCTATATTTTCCGTTTTAACAACAATGACGACTAAATTCAATCCAACACAAAATAAAAGTTGAAGACAAAAAACAAATTATAAGGAAATTCATAAATTTTCCTTTACTCATAGCATAGGCATATTGCTAGAAATTTTCAAATAAATCGTTACTTGCTGGAATTTCGTCCGAAATCGTTCATTCTGGAAAGGAGAAAACGAGTGATGTAGAAATTCGAATAATTCTCTAATGCAATTTCGAATTTTATAAAAACGAATGAATTACGGAATTTCGAAATCCGGATATTGATACCTTAACTCTATAATTTCGACTTTAAATTTTATAAAACACACATCTACTATATGTTGCAATATAAAACACTTAATTATTGTTAGTAATATAATTAATTATAGTATTATTAAATAGAATTAATCATTTTCATGTATTTATGCTCGTATTTATATAATATTATATTTCATATATGATTAACTTAATTTACATTTTGATGACATAATTTGCAAATATAACAAAAAAAATAACATTGAATAAGTCTTATTTTAGTAGACGATATTTAGACTTATGCCACAATAGAAATATCACTAATTGCGCATGCTAATTTTCTATAAAAACTCTATTGTTATATGAGCCGGCTTTATTGTTTACACCACACCTCATTGTTAAAAGCCTTTTATGAACATATAATAGGTACACATTATATACTAATTTGCGTGTGTATATAATAATATTCCTGTACTTATGTGTATAATAAAAAAATATGTAAATATATAACATAAAAGACATTCAAATATCACCTACAAGAGCAACATATTAAACATGACAAGCATTAATAAGTTTTTAATAAATTGTTATAAAATTAATTTGTTAAAATATTAAATGATTGACCGAACATGTGATTATATAAATCTGATATATTTAAATATAATTACATAAAATGATGAAATTTCATTAAAAATAGAAATTTTAGGCCACCCTGCATTTTTTTTTTTGCTCAAATAAATAATACGTATACGCAATTTAGAATTTAACGTAAATCTTTCCACTTTTTTGTAAAGAGTTTTTTTCAATGGAATGACAAATGAATTGAAAAGTTGTTATATGTGAAAATATTTACATAAAAAAGTTTGCAACAATAAGATTTTTATTATTTTACGTCATATCAAAATTCTTGGAAAGTCCACTTTGAGACTAGTAACAAAGGTTTATAATAATCTTTTTGATTTTTTTTTAAATTTAGCAATTACCTTAACTTTTAGTTTCCAAGAAAAGTATCGAGATATTTTCGAACAACGTAAAATTTTTGAAACATAATTTGAGGGAGCAACAAGCAGGATACCGCAAAAACAGAAGCTGCATAAATTTCTCTAACTCGCTAAGAATCATAATAGAGAAGTCAAATATATGGAATAGCCCCTTTACTGCACCTTCGTTGACTTTGAAAGGGCATTTGATATGATCAAGCAGAAGTGAAAATCCTGGAATGCATTAAATCACAAACGCGTCCCAACAAATATTTTAAACATAATTATGACTATATATGAAAATACGCAATCCAACACGACACGGCCGCACCTATCAAAATAAAATCAGGGGTCAGACAAGGATGCCCACTCTCGCAATTCCTCTTCGTGGTGGCTCTCAATGATGTAATGTGGCGGGTTAATGCAACACCAAGATATATCGAACACAGATTGTCTAAGGCAAAATCAACATTGAGCAGACTGTCTGGACGTCACTCTGTTCTTCGCTAAATCTGAATTTTAAATTTTTGATTTGACTTTATCAAAGTGAAAGAGTTACTATATCATTGACCGCATTATTAGTAGCAAGTTTAAGTTTTAATTTCATATTTAACGTTCCAATTATGAGGTCATTAGAATTTACATTACTTAGCCTACTTAAATATGTACTTACGTTAATTAATACTTGAAATTACGTAAATAAAATGTTGAATTTTAATTTTTAATTTTAAAAACTACATTCATTCTATTCTAAAATATTTGAGTAATTTTTTTCATAAATAATTTAAATGCTGTAACTATTATTAGAACCTTGAATATTTAAAATCTGCTACACAGTCATACAAAGGTAGAGTTTATTTAAAAGGTTATACTGGTTTTCGTATATGGGTTCTTAAACTTACATTTAGCTGACCTATACATAATAGTATGTGAAATAATAATCATTTCGTCTTCATATTCAATTTCAAGTTCAAGATTTTTCGCTTTAAATACCTACACCCATATAATTTTAAAGCTTTATACATTTATTTATCGTTAACATATTAAATTAGGCGTTAAATGCTTTACTATACATTATTTATAAGATAATTATTATAATTTTGTAATAGGCAAGCTATGCAAAGCTTATGGCATGTGCTATGTGCTCTAGTATTGACTAATTAATTGTTATATTATGTATACTTTTTTTTATTACAGATAATGCCGCAAATAAAGGTGTCACATCTTAATTGGTTTTTTTTTTTGTTGACTTAAAATGACTGAACGTATTAATCATCTCTTCAAGACGTAAAATATACAATGAGAATTAGATATAAATTTTATTTCGTTTGAATTAAATATTAATAAGAATATTGTGAATATTTAAAAGACCGGCAATCAATAAATTGTTAATTTGCAACATATGTACTTGTATTACGTCGTCTTAATACCGAGATCCATGATGAAGATTAATCTTCTCTTTAGCTTTATTAAAATTTAAACGCTTCCGATGTCGATCTTGTGGGAAAAGACTATCTGTACCTCCTGCGATGTCCGAACAATCACCTTTTCTGTGGAGCAACACTTTGTAAAAGGCATCGAAATTCGTCTATCAAAAAAAATTTTCAATCCTCAATTTTAACTTCCTCAAATGACCCCCAGTCGACAAAATTTCGATGGGAAACTCATAACTATTTTTACTTGGTTCTATTCTACTTGGTTCTAGTCCACTTCTATATTTTTTGTGTTTTCTATTAGTTATTTTCTCCTTCGCCAAAATAACGAGCAATAAGTTCTCCTAAAACGATCCTCTGCTAACTCTTCCCCCCTAAACGTCATGGTTTAATTGCTTTAAAATTGTAAAATTGTCGTTAACACGCTATTAAAATATCATAACATTTCTTTTGAAGGTCAAATATTACCAATTCAAGTGTACACAATATTTTTGTTATTATTTTTCCTCATATACCTGCATAAATACTTCTTAGCTTCTTAAGGTAAGAAACACATATATGTAGATAAATAATATTAAGAGTATCGAGAGTCTTTTCGAACTTTGTATATTAATTTATTAAAGAGAGAGCATTAAAATATTAAGCTTTTATTTCAATACTCGTTAAATTTATTGACGCATATATCCAACGTCATGTTAATGTCACCCTCAAAACTTGTTTTTCAAATTAAGTAACTAATTTATCATAACATATGTAATACTTTTTATATTCTTATGCGAATACATATTTTACCTGTGCTGTGGTATTCGGAATTAAAGTTGTTAACATTAATCTTCATATAATTTTTTAACATATTGGCGCTAAAAAAATTTTTTGTACTCCTTATTTACAGCACTTATCAATTATTAATTTTGGGGAGTATTTAAAGCTTTTAATGATCGTATCGTATTTATACCTGTGTGTTGAATGATCGATCTTCAGCTTGTATAACAGAAGGGGAATTACTATTAACCATTAATAATTACCAAGCTACTTAAATTTGTTTTAATTTTCTGTTATTATTTTTCAAGATGAATTTTGATGTTTTGGCGCTCATTCCAAAAATATTTTATCTTGTTTCTTTTTTGAATTTCTTGGTTGGGCGCTTTAAAAGCTTTTTATTTTCTTATTATTTTTTTTTTCTTTAACTATTTGAGAATTTTTTTTAAAAATAATTTTTTTGTTTTCAGAGAATATTTTTTCATTCCAAAGTTGAATGCCGGCTCGCGAAGATTGTAATAGCTGAAGGCGTTCGCTTTAAATTTTTATTATTCGCATTTTATTTTGAATTTTTCTTGTTTCTGTTTATTATTCGATTTTATTAATTCATCAAAGGTGAATTCACAATGAAATTAAATGTATGCAATGTGTAAGTTGTGGTTAAATACGAATTTATGAATCATTTTCTAAATATTAAAATCGGCTTTAAAAAAATTCATTAAAGATTCTGTGATGTAATTTTAATGAAAATAAAATAAAAAAAAATAAGATAGTGAAAAAATTAAAGATGCAATAATAAATTAATAAAAAATAAGTGTAAAAGCATTTGCAAAATCTTAGTGTTAAAAAAAGAAAAAAAATAGTTCAAAACCTTTTGTGTATTTTTTGATAATTAAGGCATCATAAAAAAATTAAAAGAAGATTAAAAGAGAATTTATTTTTGAATTTTTGAAAAAAAAAAATAATTATTAAATAATTTTGTGAAAATGAAAATGAAATTATTGTGCCACACTTTCGTAATTTTTAATTTTATTCAAATTATTTTTGCTGTTGATTATGGCCCAAACACCACCACAAGACATCACAAACCAAATATAAATCGGGTAAGTTTAGAAATTTATGAATATTTTTACAATCAAAATTAATTTAGTAAAAAATGAGATATTTTGTGAGATAAGCTCTGGGCTATATACAATATTGTATAAGGGGTTACTCTACAATAATTATGAAATAATTTTAATTGTTAAGTACATTAAGTAATACCGTCGTGCGTCTTGCAAATTAAAAAAATTTTAAAATTATTTTTATATTTATAAATTCCATATTATACGCGAAAAGAATTTTAAATATTTATTTTGATCTTGACCACTTGAATAGAATTTAATTTAAAATTTGATTTCTCATTCAAAATGAATTTCTTTTAAAAGATTGAAACTTGTTTAATAAAGTTTAATTAAAAAAAGATTATAAACATACATATACGTATGTATGTAGATACAAAATTTATTGACGCGTTTTTCTAATTGCTTTCTTTTATTTTATTGCGAATTTTAAACTTGTTTGATAAAATTTATTTACAATTATAATTATTATGTATAGAATCATAATTATTATGCTTATAAATTTAAGAAATAGCTATAATTAATAAAATATAATATAAGTATGATTATATTTCATAATATTCTATTGATAGAGCATATTGCTTCAAGTCTATATTATTGACTATTAAGAGAATAAGCTTAAAGTCTTTAATTAATGGTATGTGACTATTCAAAGGAATAGAATGATCGTCTTTTGAAAATATTTGGAATTATTCAGACCAATTTTTCAGAGAAATTTTGACATGACATTTGAAATTTTTGAAACTTTTAATATGAGTATATGCTGTAGAAATATATTTTATAAAGTTGTTTTTACCGTTGCGGCCGCAGCATTTGTGCCATTGCTCTGTCAAAAGAAAACAATGGATATTCCTTTATATAATTAAAATTAATTCTTAATGGGGTTTTGGCCCCATATAAAAATATTTTCATAATTATTATTGTTTATGTAAGTCCGTCTTTATATTCTAATACAAGTATTTGAACTCCTATTTTATGCCCTGACCACTGTAAGATGGAAATTGTTTCTGGTTTTTTTTTTTGTATTTGTAGATATTGTTTTTTTAGTACCTACTGGATTGAAGGTTAAGTGAATTCCAAAATAATAAAATGATTTTTGCTTTCAATTAAAAAACTCCTCTTGTAATCCTGGCTCTAATTTATTATTAGAATTCTTATTAGAAAGTCGAATAATCAAAGTGGTCTAAATATTTTAAATACTGTCCATTTTAAAGTGACATTGTGAGAACAAAAATTATTAAAAATAAAATTAAGTACTTGTTACTTTTTGTAAATTGTGGTAAAGCCTTGTTCGGAACTTGAAAATTCAATTTTTTCATATCATACATTTCAAATTCACGAAAAGAATACAGCAAAAAAATAATTCTAATTCGGAATAAATAATTCATTTTTATTTAAGCACCAAATACTCTTTACTATTTTCACTTCTTCATGGAAGATGTATGTATATAGATGTACCCAAAATTATAAAGAATTCTCGGCCACATTATATACAATGCATTTTATATCAATTAAAAAAAATATATTTATTTTTTATTTCTTTCAAGTTTTACAAGAGACAATTTAAGAGTTTAGTAGACATTTCAAACCTGCTTAATACACTAATATTTAATACATGAATATATGAGTACCTACTTATTATGTATATAAGCAGTAGACGTCTAAACGAGTTGACAAAGAAGAGATGAAATGTTTTATTCCATTATACTAGACATTTTATATCTCTATGTGAGCATATGTGATAACAAAAATCCAGTTTTATTGAACCGCATTTATAATATTCCGATACAAGGACGAATTACTCATATATTTATGTTTTTTTTTTCTTTTTTTTCTGCGTTATTATCATATGTCATTTTCAAGTTTTATAGACAATAAATGCATAACTAATTTAAAAATTATCAATAAATTTTCTTCTTCATTTTCATACTTAATTAAAAGAAGTTCTTCCTACAAATGTTACCTAATCTTTTAGGTTTCAAGTCTTAAATTATAAGATAAAGGTGAAAACAATGAAAAATGTTACGAGTATGTTGTGTTGTGCTATAAATTATATTAAAAATCGTTGTATGTAGCCCATAATATAATGATAAATCAATAGTATTTAAACAGGATTGCAAAAGGAATTATATTTTATATTACAGGCGTGATTTAAAGCTTAATGTTGGGTTCAATGATTATAATATTCAATTAACCTTTATGTGTCTGAAATAATTTTATAATTTGTGGATTTTATTAACAGACGCAAAGATTTATTTAACAGTTGAGCATTACAAAATTTTATGGAAATTCTAAATGTAAAGAATTAAATGTAAAGAATACTTTGGTGATGAGATAATCATATTTAATATTAATTTTCATGATTTCAAAGTTCGAATCCGAAATAGTTTCGTTACACAATTTTGCTTGCGAATAAAACCTTCTTTGATTTTTTTAATTACCTTCTTTGGAAGTACCAATTCCATATTTGGGAAAGCTAGTTGTAAATAGTTTTAGTGTACAGTTAAAATACAATGTGTTTGTTATGTAAAAATTTTGAATAATAACACTTTTGTTTTTAAAATGCGTATTAACTACGGTATTAAAATAGAGACAGGAAACATCAAGCATAAATAACGCATATAATATTTTAATTTTAGCAGAGCTGATTTAGCGTTTTTAATGTTGAAGAATATAATGATATTATATAGAGAATAATGTGAATATTATATGTACAATGTATGCAATCTTGATCGGAACCACACTGTGAGCGAATTTTACTCGCTCCTTTGCATTTGTTTCAGAAATAAAATGTAGTGTAGTTTCAGAAATAAAATGTAGTGTAGTTTCAGATATAACTTTAATTGCTTTACCAGTACAGCTGGAAAATGGTAATTATCGTATACGATTTAATGCAAAACTCGACTAACTTACTCAAAATAAAATTTTAGCTTGTTTTATAAAAGCCCCAAAAATTCAGTGGCTGGGGCACGTAATAAAAATGGCTTATGAAAGAGCAGCTAGTAAAATATTTAAAAACAATCCGAATGGGTGTAGAAGAAGAGATGCTGTTTTGGATGATTTATGCTTAAGTGTAGAAATTGGAGAACGCTAGACCGAGAGAGAATGGATTGAAAGAGGCTTGCAGCAGAAGCAATGGTTTGCCGAAGACTGTAGTGATGAGAAGTGTAGTTAGTAATATTATAAAGGATAATAAAAATAAACAGAGCATAACTTTCACACCAATGCATTTACCGATATATGAATGAAATTATGTGAGCTCATATGGTTTGACTTCTTTTGAATTGAACACTTATTCCCGTTCCATTCCACAATTAAAATTCATAATAGCATTTCCATTTAAATATAAGTACTTGACAAATAGCCACATAATGTAGCTTCATCTATCATAACGAAAATAATTTTTACTTAGAGAAATTTTTAGAATTAACAGATAACCATAAATTTTGTTTTGCTATTTAAATTATTATTATTCAATATTTGTTAACCGTACAAGAATTTTAATTTAAATCAATTGAAAAAATTTTGTTTTAAAATTCAAATTATCAATTCAAACTTTTTATTAGATCATATTTTCTATATTAGAGGAGCAACAGAGCTATTATAATAATAGAATTATTTAAAAATCAATTAAAATTAATTAATAGTTTAACATTAACATATCGTAGAGCTTTAAACTGAAATGTATGAAAACAATATTATACAAGTTTATTAATTAATTTGTCAAAAATTTATTCTTTTTACCGTATTGTATTCAGCAAGGGAGGTTATGTTATGGCACTAAATTTCGCATGTCTAGTTTTCGACGAAAGTACACTTTTCCGTGATAGGGAAGCGTAACTAAACCATTTTTAGAGAGATGTTTGTCTGTTTGTCAGTGTGTCCGCGTCTCTCTCTACTGTCTCTCATTTTCGGTTGAACCGATTTTAACGATTTTTGAACCGATGTGAGTTAACTCATGTAAGTTTACTATGATTGTGTGACAGATTGCTCAACTAGTGCTCACTATTTCATGTTTGCCCGCATATACAGCGAGGTAATTATCTGATTTTCTTGAAATTATATATGTGAGTTCTGTTTGATAATGACACTAACTAAGATTACTGAGATTAATTTAGTTTAATTGCGATCGGTTATATGCTGTTCACATCAAATTTTGTAATATTTTAATTCAATATGAAAACATTATTAAGCAATAATATTTATCGTTTATTGATTTTTTAATTTTAATACACCAAATATATGCTTCATATCGGGTCGAGTAGAAATATGGCATAGAATTTTGTATACATTTAGTTAACATAATTATTTAAATTGATATATTACTAATGGGGAAATGAACCCAAACCAGCCTATAACAGCAACTAAAAATATAAAACATTTTTATTAATTTATTTTCTTTCCAATTAAACATGTTATTTTTGAAATTATACTTTCACTAATCAAAAACCAATTTTTTAATATATTTTTCATTCTATTATATGTTTCAGTCAATATCTGGGAACGATGGTTATTGTCAGAGGCTTTATGATCGTATTGTTACTTTAACAAGTTTAGATGAACAACAAATTAGACAATTGGAAACAGTTGATTCAAAGTAAGTTTATCATTAAAAATTAAAGTACGTAAAATAATTTCATAAAAATTTTCTTTTAATTGACAAATATTATAAGAAATACACCATTTACATTTCACTGTAAATATATAACAATTGTTATAATATAATAAACACATTTGTAAATAGTAGTGAATTTTGATTTGTATACAAAATTATGAAGTAAATTGTCATAGCATACTGCACAATGCCACACTGTATTGCAATAACTGTCATTTGAATAATGTGCTTTCAACATTAACATTATATTCTAAGTTCAAATTGTACATCATTTCAAATTTAAAAATATTAACCCAAATTCTACAAAATTCTAAATCTGATTATAGCAGAATTGAAGCACGGAACGAAAGTGTTTTGAATGCCTGCTTGAGGCATAATATTGTCACGTCAACAAATAAATTTTGCCACATACGTAAATTACTAAGGTATTTTAGCATCAAATCAATTATGAAATTATACAAGTAGTAATAAGTACACATATGTATGTTAGAAGTACCGGCTCTTATGCCCCCTATACAATGATAAAAGCAATTAAGAATGAGAATAATATCGCATACATGTCTATTACGTTATGATCATTAAAAAATTCTCATTTTCACACTTAAATTGGACTGTTTGTCATAATATACAAATTTTAAATGAAAAATGGATAAATTTTTGCCAAATTTAAAAATTCACATTTAAATTCTTACAAAAGTTTTTATTATTACGATAATGGGCAAAAAATTTTAATAGATTCAATCAAACAATAAAACATTTTGTAAAAATAAAAATGAAATTGAAACCAAATTTTAACAAAATAACAAAATGGGCAGCAATATAAAGAATTAATTTATGTTCTGAATTTAATTAAAATATGAAAAGAGAAGAGTATTGACGACTGGAACATTTTTTTTGTTTCTTTTGAATTTGAAAGAAACTCGTTTTCTCCTTTTTTAATTAAACTAGTTCCATTTTACGTCATACGTCCTAATATACTTTCTATGACGTTAATGGTCTAAGCGAATTATTCCTCATTTATGACAAAAATTCTTAATATTTTAGAATCATATTTAAAATAAATTTTGAAAAAGGTTAAAATTTTACAAATTAAAATGAAGATCAAAGAACTCTAGGAGATAAGATCATCTAAAAAACAAAATTATAAATGATAAAATGTTAAAATTCTTTTAATATTACCCAAAAATGACTATTTAATTATTTTCGAAATTATTTTTAATCTTCATTAATTTGATTTTAAGTTCATCGAAATAATTATCTTATGATCTTGTCATTTTATAAAAAAAATCTACACTCGTGTCTTTGTCAAAAAAACTAAAAAGTGATTTAAATCCAAACAGGTGAATCGCATAATCTTGCATTTATTTATTTGTTGTGTTAAAAAATAAATTATTGACAAAAGGTCTATAGACAAAAATATTCGGCAAAATATTTTAATAATTTAGTTTTATTTTCTAAGTTAAGTCAATTTATCACTCACTAAAAACCTAATAGATGTAAAGTGATATTACCATAAGGTTGTTAACAAAATATAAAAAAATCTGTTATCTGTATATCTTAAAACAATGACTCTCAAATTTGAAATACCTAGCCCAATAGGAATATACAATGGTTGCAAAATTTTTCAAGTAAATGTGGTTATCAAACAAATTCAGAGAGTAGATTTTTCTCATCCACTTGTACATACATGTTTTCTATTTGGAATGAATAGTTCACTACTTATTTTTGCATTAAATGATAAACTTAGAAAAATTTATCGCATTTGTAGTTAAATTAAAAGAATTTAAGAAAATGTGAAAATTCATTACATTGTTATTTGTGTAGTTGTATAGTTTCTTAAAATAAAAATCACGTCTGCAATGCATATTTTCTCATATATTATACAGTATACACTGTGGAATGCCAGTAATGTTGTATTATTGTAATATATTCCACGACAAACTAGATGAAAATGAATTGCATGCCATTGTAATTGACCTTAACCTTATATATGACATAATTGTTGAAAAATTTCTGGTTATATAATATTTTTATGTTAAAAAATATGAAAGAAATTAAAATGTGACCGTCGAAATAATCGAAATATCTTTGTATTCCTTGAAACGTAATCGTTATTATGTGTAGGTCTTCATTATATTTTCTCTATAAGAACACAATGTATTTTTTATTAAGGTATTTATAAATTTCATTTCGTCAAAACTATATGAGATTCAATAACTTGCATGTACTCGACATTACCATTTGCGTTTGCATTAGATCAACACAATTCTGTGCATTTCTGAAAATTTTTACCTTATAGCAGCAGATAAAATTTCTTACTATAATAAAAGTTCCTTAATACTCCTTATTACCTAGAAATAGTTTTGTTGAAGAAAATCAGTCAAAAATTAATTGCAGATTAATAATATTTCGTAAAAGATTATCGAATAGCATAATATAATTCCAAAAAAAAAAATAATTGACAGTAAAAGAAAATTCGAATTTAAGATAAAATATTTTTAGCTGAAAAACTAGACCTAAGCAGTTTAGGCTTATAACCTCAACTACATTTTATTGTCTTCTACTATATTTTGTGATTATTCAAATTGCCACCATGTAGAAGAAATTTCGCGGGCATTATTCGCCTTGAATATTTTGTTATTAATGCTTCTTCGTAACACCATGCAACATAGTGTGTTTAATAACAAAGAACCTATGATACAAAAACAAATAGTAGTTTTTGTAAATTTAAATTTATTTTACAGTTTACTGTTAACAAAAAAATCAATAAATATTTTAAATGTAATAAAAGTGTCTTACCACATACCCACATTATTTTATGCTTAATTCATTCATATATACATAGAGAGAATCTCTTAAAAAAAAAGCACGAAATTAAAAATTTAATAGCCAAAACTATTCATTATTGTTTTGCGCTAAAATTTTAAATTTTGTATTTAAAATACATAATGAATGAATCTCAAAAGCATAAAAGTTTCGTCTGAATTTAGTTTTTTATTTTTTACATAATTCGAATTTTGTATTTTTTTGTCACCTGTGTATGTATACATACCTATATAAAACCACTGAAAACAAAGTTGTTGTGTTTACAATATGTACGAGAAATTCCCTTGAGACAAATTTCAACGAATAAGTAAACAAGTTAATAACAAATTTTATATATTTGCGTTTATTATTTACTATTTGTTTATTATGTATTGGTTTATGTGCATTATGCATATATTACTAATTTATAAACATATAGTAAGCAATATGCATAATAATTATGAAATGTTGAAAAACTATTTAAAAATTATTATGAAAGATAATAAAAAATTAATACAAGTGGTAGAGCTGATAACAAAAATTTACTATTTGTAATTATTCTAGTTTTTCAATTTTTTAGCATGAAACTTAATAATTTAGTGCATTCTTAATTCAACAAAAAGTACATACAGATCTACAGTCATTTAAAAAAATATGTGTGCATAGACACAATTTTATTTTTACCGACTCCATTGCATATAATAAGGCGTGGTGAGGTGATCACATAAAATTTCGCAAATGAAATTTTCGGTGGAAAAGCACTTCTCCATTGTAGAGAATCTTAAATAAACAATTTTTGGAGAAATGTCAGTCTGTCGGTCTTTGCGTGCACTCGTTTCTCTCAACTTCGGTTGAACTGATTTTAATGAAATTTTGTACGTGAGTTTATTTTTGAATAAATCCAAATTTACTGTGATTAATTAAATTTGGGAATGTGTCGGACTTCGGGAATTGAAAATTTTTCTGGTCGATTTTACGTTTTTACGCATATATAAAGAGAAATAATCCATCAATTTCTTTAAAATTTATTATTTAAATTCGGGGTGTTAAAAAAAACGAACTTGTAAATTTTTTTGGAATGATCAGGTCTTAGAAACCATACCAGAGGCCAATTTTACGTTATCATATATGCGGAACTAATTAATGAAGTTTCTTGAAATTTAAAATTTGAGTTCTGGTTGTTACCGAAACTAACTGGTGAAATTTTCGGGGAATTCGGATGGTGGAAAGTGAAATTTTACTAGCGAAAGAGGTATGTTGAGTAAAAACTTACAAACATCCAATAATTTTTACTGTTCCTTTAGTAAAATAACACTATAGGTTTGTATTTGTAATATAAGCATGTATGTATAGAAAATTCCTGAGTTTCTTTATAACTATAAATAGGCCCTTTCCAACACTGAATCCTTAAGATTTAATACATACTGTTTTATATTTTTAAATAATTATATGAAACGTAACAGGGTCAATTTTTAAAATGTCTTCGAAAACATGCTCTAAACTCTTTTCAAAACTTTTCCGATCATTCATAAGTTCGATGTGATAAAAATTATCAAGTGTCAATGTGATAAAAATTATCAAGTGTCAATACGAATTGTTTTTTTTTTATTGATTCGGCCAAATATTACATTGATTATCGATAGATCCTCCACGAATCCTCATTTTCCGATTAATACTCAAATCTAATTAATTTCACATTCAAATCAAATAACAATAAATGATTTTTCCAAAAAAAAAATTTTTTCATTTTTGTTAAGACAAAATTGTCGTTTTCAATTGACGTTTTCTTAAACCAAACCCAAAAATTTCACTTACATCACTCATCACTTGTGTGGTATTTCGAAACATTTCATGTAAAAATTGCTTTTTACAAATTATTTCACAAATTGTTTGCGCATACATTGTAATTTCAGTTTTTGTGGACAACTATGAAACTTCGCAACACCTTGCTTTTATTCCTAAATTGAGCTTTTTTTCGAATACATCATTAACATGATGACTCAATATTATTTAACGCGCAAGAAGTACATATGTGCAAGAACATAAATCTCTTGTTAAGCAATCAAAAATTATTGATTTCCTGATTTAAAACTTTTGAGCTGTAATAATAATACAAACGTATATATATATATATATATATATATATACATTATATATTTGCTAGTATAAAAATAATACAATTAAATAAAAGAAACTAAAAGTCATCATATTACTTAACATAAAAAATTAAAGCTACTTAATATTTCTGTGAAGTCTTTTCATTCATTACCTTCATTGATTAATTAACAGTTGGGAGTATAACGACGTGCATATTATTTTTTTAACACATTTTAATAAATCTTCTTTTTACTTTAATTTTTTGGTTATTATTTAAGATTATTAATTAAAAACCTTGTAAAATTTTCAGATTAGTTAGAATGGAAAGTAACACTCAAGAACGTTTGGATGCAATGCGTGATGAATTAAAAGAGATCAATAAAAGAACTGAGAATCTCGATTGGATTGATTCAAAATCAAAAGCGCTGCTAGAAAATTTAAAAGTAGAAGTAGAATCAATGCGTCAAAATTTAAATGATGGTAAGATTTTTTTTTAAAATTTATTACTCGTTTATAGTCGTCAGTAATAATTCAAAACATAATTACAGTGCATTATGCAAGATTGTCAGCTTGCAAGTTTTAAAAATTATTAAAATAAAAATTTTTTGAGCTGGCAATACTTTGTAAAATATTCGTAAACTATAACATTTCATAAAGTTTGGAAATTTAAAATTTTTTTGTTAACTTGTTGGTAACACACCTTGCGCGCTTAGTTTTCATAAAGGTGCTTTTTATACCGACCTTATTGCCCTTTATAATTAAAATTCTATAAAATTTATGAATGTTTTTTTAATAACATTAATGTTAAATTAAAAACCTCCGGAATAACATAGAAAAAATAGAAGATTTACCGACATACATGCTGATATTTTTTATTTTTAACTCATAAGTCATTGAAGAATAACAACTAATGATAAAAATTCAATTAAAATATTTAAAATTTTTTTCAAATATCACAATTTTCGTCATGCAAAATAATTATAGGTATGGGAAAATTTTTAATTGTACATTAAAATAGGACAGGTATTAATTCCAGAACACCTTTTTTGCCACTCACATTCATTCACGTAAGTGACAATAACAATAAATTTAGATTTAGACAATTTCTTTTAAAAAATTTTTGAATTTCAAATGAAATTACTCAAGTAATTGATAATTATCTCGACGATAATAAACTACGGTATTACTTTTTTTTTCAATATCACGATTTTTCGCTAATTTCAACAGCATAAAATGAAACTTATTTAAAAAGTCGTCGACCTACTCCTAATACATTTACTATTTTACATTATGTTCAAGGCATTTCATTAAGTTTACTATTTCAATTTTTTTGTCTGATTTCTCGCTGCCTTGAAACCTAAAATATTCCAAAAAAACATTTTCCCCGAAAACAAAAAATACCGGTTAAAAGTGGACTTTATATTAATTTTTTTTATGAATCATTTGCATATTATGTTTATATTTACTTGAGTCTGGTAATATCATGTTTATGTGTGTATATTCTTCAAACTGTAGGATTTTAAAACAGGATTGACAGCCTAAATAACAAAAGTAAAAAATTGAACTTGAAATTGGAATTTATAAATTTTGTGTTAAAGAAAAAATCTTTATCAAAAATCCTAAACAACTTTCTATATAAACAATAATCAATATAAAGGGGTTGATACCAAAAAGCTAGTTTATATGAAAAAACTTTACAATATTAATCCAACAGTTGTTACTAATCGAATACATATTATGTGCATGCATGAATGCTCAATATAATTATATAATTAACAAAAATTAATTATATTATAAATGTGTACTAAATTTCAAGAGTAATTACATCAATAATTGAACTATTAAGGGGTACTTAATCTTATTTTTTTTTGTAAAATACTCCACGCTCACCAGCCATTATGGCATTCAATCACATTGACAATACAAATTCATATTGTACGTATATTATTTTATTCCGCTGTTATACGTTGCTGTTTATGTTATCAAATTATTTTTAGCACATTTCGAAAAAATGAAAAATATGTACCTATTAATCTTATTCTGACTCTCCATCATTGGTCCGTTTTTTGTATGTTTAGCTTCCACAACAATTAAGAAGAAGAAACAAAGCTAGCATTTTGTAAGCGAATATGTCTTACTGTAGAAGTTATTTCTATAATATAAAATAAAATTTTTCATACCTGTCCCCTTTCCTCTTTAAAAGTCCTTTAGAGTTATTAAAATAATATATAAGTTTTCGGCATTATATTGTACCCAATCCATATACATACAACTTGTTAATTTTGAAAATGGTAATTGATTAAGGCTTATTTCATGTATTTGAGCAAATCGTAGCCGAATGTCAGGATCTTGAATGAAACCTTCAAATTTAACGGAATTATTTAAATAGTAACGGAATAGTCTTAAATTTTGACAGTTTTTAAATATGCCTCTGAATATTTTAACAAAATTTTTATTGGAGCAAATTTTATCTTCCTCTTTCTGAGTTATAGATCACCAATTTCTGCGACTTCATAAACTTTTCTGAACCTCTATAGCATGAGAAGTAAAAGAAATGAGCTTTTTATACAAAAATACGCCTTATGTCTCTTACTTAGCTAAATTCTAAATTTTTTTTTTCATTTTAAGTATTACTTAATTTGAAGTGTTTTCCTCCTAAATGTATGCAATATTATATATTATTAGAAAATTTGCAGAGGGAATGCAGTTTTCATTATTTAAACCGAAACCTATACAGATATAATTTTTGAATTTACTTGTAAAATTGAAGGAAATGTGCTCGATTAGATTCTATAATCGCTTGTTGGTAGATATATTTCTAATTCTCCCTGTAACAAGTTTTAAACATTTCTATTTAATAATATTTAATCTTTATTTCAATTAGTATAAACAATAATTTTCAATCTCCAAACCTAAAATTTTAAAGGTGTTAATTGAATATAATATGCTCAATACATCTTACCTTACCTAATATAACAATAACAATAATAATAATTACATTTAATATTTCTTTTATTATTTAAGGTCATTTACGGATACGACAGACTAGATCTGACACAACTGATGAACAAACATTTTATGAAACAGATCAAAAATTAACAAATTTAACACAAATGTTATCATCATTAGCAGCATTTTTATCATCGGTTCGTCAAGGTGTATTTAATGTTGAAGAAGATTTTCGTGCTTTAAAAACAAATATTTCAACACTATTACAATTTTCAAGGTAAATTTTTGTTATTATTTTTTTTTATCGCTGTTAAAAATTATTCGTATATTTTGTATAAGTTTATAAAATCAAAGTTTGTTTATATGTGTTATATAATATAGGCGGCAATGTATAAGATATATGGAATATATGCGATATATTTATACTAGCGCATATTGTATTGATAATATTTATGAGAAACGATATTTTTTGTAAAAGAAGAAGCAAAATCTGTTTAAAATCGCCGGTATAATTTTTATGTGTTGATATAAGATAGTATGAAATGATAGTGTATAGTTACTGTTAAGATATTTTCAGCTGTTATACAGAATTTGCTTTTACATTTGTAATTTATTTAAAAAGGAATATTTTATAATTTTTATCTCAGTTGAAATTTATGAATTTTAAGGATTTTAACGATTTGATTATTACACTTATTATCGGATTTAATAGGACAAATTGAAAATGTTGTAGAAATTGAAATTCGACGAGGGTACTATAATTATTGCAATTTTTATAATTTTCTGATAGCAAAGATACCGAAAATAAGGTGTTCTAGGCCCCTTGCGAATAATTTTTACAATAAGTTTCATGGAAATGAATAATATACGGATTTCGTAATGTTATAATTTTAATACTACTACAAAAATTTCCAATTTTACGGCATAGAATTTTAAAATTATCTTTTAAATTATTATACATACAATTTTAATTTAAAATATTCCTTTAATTCTAATTAATATTCCTTAAATATTCCTTGTTTAAAACTAAGTTACCCATAATTGGCACATGTTCAGTGGCAACTGATTAGCAATCGAACAGGGATGCAAAATTTCAATATGTAGGTTAGAATAATAAGTATACACTGTTCTCTTTTCATTTTTCTTTCCCATATTAAAAATATCATTGATGCTGAACATGAGTTTCTTTTCATTCAAATATCAAAAATGAAATTTTTTTTATAAACAATTCGCACACATGTGCATGTACACATAGGTATGTAATGAATAAATTTAATTATAAATATATGTATTTATATTACTTGTAAATTTCGAATTGAAATAAAATCTTCAATTTTTCTACATTTTATAAGAATTTGTTTATGTTAAGAAATTTTTTTCGAGATTTTTTACTTCACTCCCACAATTTGTTTATATTTTGATAACCTTAATTTTTCAATTTCAAAATTTTGTTTATATAATATACTAATTGGTCATGCATACCTCAATTCACCATATGCACTTAAAATTATTTCATATTTGTATTTTTTTGAATTGACGATATTTAACTGCAATTACAAAAATATATTTATTCGGCAAAAAAATTGCCTCTTTTCTGTAACAATTTCATTATAACTTTTGAATGAAAAAAAAAATTATTTTCATGTTTATAAATTCCTTTTTTGCCATTTTAATAACGACCTTTTTGGTAATTTTATTCAAACTATATCAAATGATGAGAAAAAACTCTTTTTTAGTGGGAGTGTTTTTCAATCGGCCCTATATAATTACTGTTATTTTTTAATGTTATAATAATTATATCATATTCATACAGCATTTGAAATACAATAGCCTGTATGTAATACATGTGGTTATATGGGATATAAAATAATTTCCAAATTTTGTAATATTTTTTACCCTTGTTGAATAATAATAATCATTATTAAGGTTGTTTTTTATTAATATTGCTGATTATATCGAAAAATGAATTAATAATAATAATGAAATCGATTTTATAATATACGTAATAATCGATATTGTCTGGTATATTTCAATATTGTATCGAATTTATGTAGTTTGTATTTCTCATATTATTAATTTTTGTAACAGATATGAGCTCAGTTAACTTGAAATAAATAGTAATAAGAGAAAATGTTAAATAGAAAATTTTTAATTTGAAAAAATTGATTTTCAGAATTAGCTTATATATATCTGCTGTCATATGAGTTGCCTAATCAAATGAATTTTCTTATAATTTTAAATACTTTTGAAAATTTGCAAAATTGCATGGCGCTGTATCTGTCAAAAACAAATTCAGAAAAAATATACTTTCCTAACGGAAACGGGGGGATGACTTCCAAAAAAATAAAATGTTTCTTTGCTTTAATGTCTTCTAGGATCGGTGATATTCATTTCCAATATTATTTATTTCTAAATTACTTTGATTTTTCTAAAATTTTTAATACTTAACAAGCGAATTGATTTAAGCCATTATGTGGCATAATAAAATTAAAGTGAATAATAGCACACTGCAATTTAATCATTCTCTATAGCCAAATTCAATTTATAAAAACTTTGAATTTCATTGATTCACTTCAATCGGACTGCATTTACACATACATATTATATTCTTGGTTAATCCAATATTATTTTTTACATCTCTTAAATTCCATATACAATATAGTTCATATGGGTACATATGCAACTCTTTCAAATTTTAAGAAGCGTAAGCTCTAGTTATTTGAAGAACTCTGGTAACACTATTATTAAATAAAAATTTCGTTGTATCGAATACGACTTTGTCTAATTCAATCCATTTTTAATTAATTTGTATTTAAAAAATTTTAAAATAAAAAAATAAAAAAGAAAAATTGACATAAAAAATTTTTGACGTCCAGGATGTTAAGTTTAATGATTTTAATAAAATTAATGTGAAACAAAATAAATTATAATTTTTTTTTGTAATTTTATGAGAATTGGAATATTATTAAAGACAATAATAGCAATATTTTTAGTTTTAAAGTACGTAAAAGAGAAGAATTTCGCAAAAAAAATTTTAATTTCAAAACTAAAATTTATTATTTTTTTTATCTCCTTATTTTATCAAAAACAAAAAAACAATATTCTGTAAGTACTTACATTTTCTTTTCATTGTTTTTATTTTTTTTTTTAGGGAAATACAAAAGAGACAACATTCCCAACCAAGTAAACAATTTCTTAATCATGCCATCAATAATGTTCGTTCGTCATTATGTAATGAAAATCGAGGAATTACAAATAAATTGCCATCTAGTTGTATTGATGATAATATTAAAGAAAATCAAATAAATAAAATTGAAATCAATCAAACACCAATTGGATCATTTTATGTTAGATGTTTTACAAGTGATGAATATGGTAGAGGATGGACCGTGATTTTAAATAGATTTGATGGTGATATAAATTTCTATAGAAATTGGTTAGAATATAAAAATGGTTTTGGTAATATTGCTGGTGAATTTTTTATTGGATTAGATAAACTATATGCAATAACATCAAATCGATTACATGAATTATTAATATTATTACAAGATTTTGAAGGTAATGCACGTTATGTTCGATATAGTTCATTTGCAATTGGTAGTGAAAAAGATATGTATGCATTAAATATATTGGGTGATTATGATGGTAATGGTGGTAATTCATTACAATATTCAGCATCATATAAATTTTCAACATTTGATAATGATAATGATGGATGGGTTGAAGGAAATTGTGCACAATCACATACGGGAGCTTGGTGGTATAATGCTTGTGAGAAAAGGTAATTTTTTAAAATGTGAATATAAATACTATCTTCATATACATATATAGTATATACTATCTTCATATTTTTGTTTTTTAGTAATTTAATGGGACAATATTTGGGAACAAAAGTTGAACCACATAATAATTATCGAGGAATGTATTGGGAAGGTTTCAATGGATCAAATTATTCATTATATGCTGCTAGAATGATGATAAGACCAGTCGAATATTCAAATGATGATTACTAATTTCCGAAAATATTTTTAATAATTTTACATTTTTTTCGAATACGCATAATCGCATTTTTTTTTTCGAAATAAGATTTTATTCATGTACTTATCATATTATAATTTATGTTGTATAGCTTTAATTATTTTTACTGTAACATATATGCGTAATTTTTATTTGTATATTTGTGTAAAGTATTTGTAATAATAATATATTAACTTAAAATAAGCGCTCTGAATCACCGCCAAGAAAACAAATTAAATTTATAATTTTACAATTGTTTTTCTGTCTAAAATAAGTAAATCTAATCGCACCTTTGGCTTACCGTAAATTTTATTAATACCTATGCATATCAAATTTTTGGAGATTCGGCGACAATTATCAGAGATGTAGAAATCATGGGGTAAATCAAAAGAACTTTTATATAACACGAGTATATTTTGATTTACTCGTATCCAGTTTTATGAAAATATTTAGGAATGTGCATACTTTGATTTCCTAAATTGAACTTAAAATTCGAAGAATCAATATAAGTTGTGAACAATCAGCAAAAAGCGGAATACTTAAATATGATAAAAGTTTCATTCTAAGTGTTTCAATAAAATTATTTTCATTTCGGATTAAAATAAAAATTGTACTCACATTATTTAAAGGTTTGAAACTTTGCTACAAGCATAAATCAAAAATTAATTTTTTTTATTTTATCTTTTAGATAGAAGATGGCGCACTAAATCATCATAGGTTTTTGTCTTCGAAATTAGTATGTATTATGATTGCGGTTCTTTTTAAATTTATGAGAATATTTTTTTTAAAAATTATTCCATAGTGCCTACTTCAATCATGAAGTCAAGAGAATTGTTGCATAAAATTAAATGAAATATTTTTAGTTTCCATTTAGGTACCTATTGTCTTCTTCTATCTCCAAAGCTTCATCAAATATTGTAACTGATAGAAAACGAGAAAATGTTTTTTTAAACGTTACCGTTAACTTTTATTTATCAAATTGGGAAAATGGGGAACAGAATTACATTTTTATCACAGCAATAGCTAAGAGAACACAATCAAGCAATATTTTAATATTGATTTAATCCTTTGAAGGAATGTTTGAATAAATGCATTTTTTTTATACATTTGTCTTGATAAGTAGATATATCATGTTTTAGAGCTTCACATTGTCTGATTCTACAGTCATTGTTGTAGTAGTTTCCATTATAAAATCTTCTGTATCGGAATCATCAACTAAAGTTTTTTCATTTTCCTTTATGGTGTCATTCACTTTTAAGAAGTTTTCCGTTGTCGATTCTCTTGTAGTTTGTGTTGCTTTGACTGAAACTGATGTTGTTTGTTCAATAATAATTTTTGGAGTTGTAACTAATGTTGCAGTAGTTGAAATTTGTTTTGGTTTTGGTTTAACTTTTGCCTCCATCAAATTCGAATTATTTTGTAATCTAGAATACAGTGATGCTGTTAGTCCTTTTCCAAAAGGTTTTGCACCATTAGTTCTCAAAAAATACAGTTCTTTTTCACTGATTTTATTATTTGAAGAAGAAAAACAAATAAAAAAAAATTTGAATTATTTTCTTAATGTCTAATTTGTTGGGTCATAATTATTTTTATAAGTGACTTTGAGTTTTATAATGCTGTTCAAAATTTTATGATTAAGCTTTATAATTTTGAGCTCCATATAACAATTTATTTCTTATTTGGATACATTACTGGAATATGGAAATCAAAATATTTTTCATCTTTCCGTTTAATAACAATAATACAAGAAGCGCTAAAAAAAGTACTTCGGTACAGAAATCATTTTTCGAAAAAATATAATATGCGAATAATTAAAAGGAAATTTCTCACAGAAACTTGAGATTCAATGTATTTGCCCGTATAATTTTTTGCCGCTTTCACTTGTGGGTCATAAGACAATATTAACGTTTTAACAAGATCGTCGGACAGCTTTAAAATACAGTCCTTAATCGCGGTAGTTTCTTTTATGACTTTCTTTATTATTCAACTTAAGCGCCGAAATTAACTGTCGTGGGAGCCGTTTTAGAAAAAATGTAAATGAAGTGAAATGTAAATTTAAAACAAAAAAGAATTGCTTCATTAATGAAGACAGTCAAATTACAACTCAAGTAGCGAAAGGTGCTCGCAGGAAAATTTAAAGTGGTATGCCTTTTATTGGTAAGTGATAAGTTTAAGTGTTAATTTTTTTATATATACATAATTTATTATGGTTTAGAGTGCTGTTCAAAATTTATTTAATTTTGTGCATGCCGTCGTGAATGAACTTTATAAATTACAATAAATTTCTAATCCAATCATACCTTTTTAATACGTATTCTCCCATTACAGCAATATTATTAGATTTGGCGGTGTTGCATCTTTGTGTCAGTAAATTCTGTGATGAACATGAAAATGCTGGAAAATTATGAGGTAATTCAATGCTTTCAGCAAAAAATAATGGAGCTCTATAATGACTACAAGAAGCTAAAACAAACAATAATGCAAAAGTATTTTAAATTCTTATTAAAAAAAACTGTTAAAAAAATCATTACTTCCCGTTATTAAATCTAAAAATTCACAACCAGGTTGACCAAATTTTCCATAATTTGGATAAAAATCTACGTGTCCACGTTGTAAGTATTGTCCAAGTATTGGTGCATCAGTATGAATGCAATCAACAAATTTTGCATGTTTTGGCATTAAACCATCTTTGACAAAATCTTCAAAAAGTGGTCCTGCTGGATCAAGGCCCGTTATTCGACCAATAGTTCCATTAAAATATTGACCAATATTACCAGCAATATGTGCACCTAAACTATGCCCAATCAAGTGAATTTGGGACAATTCAATTTTTTGTTTTCTTAAATTTAACATAAATTATAAAAATTTTAATTTTTCTTAATATTTTAGCGAAAATGTTTAAAAAATAAATTAATAAGTTTAAATTGGCACCTATCTTGTTAACAATATTATAACATAGTTCGTAAATGGAATAATGTTTTGTTTTTGGAATTTTGTTTGATCATAAATTGTAAAATTTTAAGGATTAGGACGGAATAATCGAAATATTATGTCTAATAGATAAATCGAATTAAATCAGAGGGAGTGGGGGGGAGGAATTGTTGTACAGACAGTTCCCATATAACATTTTCTTCTAGCGCCCGCCCTTCCCCACCGCTCAGTCATACAATTTTTTACTGGAAATTGATCAAAGAATCATGCCTGAAATTATTTGCCGTCTTATGCGAAACACCATGTACATATTGGGTATGTGAATACATAAGAGTGTGGATATAATTTTACCTAGAATTGTATGCCTCAGATACATAAAATAAACACAAAAAATTATTATGTCTATTAAATATTAATAAATCACAAATAAATTAAGAACATTTCTTACATATTAATTTCAATTCAACTTCACTGTAGTAAGTTCCTAAACGTAAACAATAATACTTATCCTATGACTATACCATACAGATGCAAAAATTAGTATAACCTGGTATAACATCAATTACAGTAAACAATAAAAACAATTTGCTGTGTTTTTTTTTAGAATAACACAGTCATCTTTAAAAGATTATACACTAACCTTGAAATTATTCAAGGTGATTAAAAAGAGGACTTTAAACTCAAATTGTTTTATTTTTAAATTTCCTTTTTCCATAAGCATATAACCTATGGGATGAATGTTTGTGATATACAAAAATACGCAACATAAAGCTATAGTGAAAAAATCAACTTAAAATAATTAATAATAATTTTATTACTAAACAATATAATAATTTTGAAAAAATACAGGTAATTCGTATCAGATAAAAAAAAATAATATAAGTGATTCATGACCAGAATGATAATTAATGATTAAGCTTGTGTGCATATCTAAACGGAGTATGTACGTGTGCTTAAAAGTATCTTCACAATAAAAAATGTAAAGACTACTAAAAATAAAGTAGGTATTCTGTAATTAAACAAAAATACGTGCAAAATGTTATCATAACATAAAAGTAAGAAAAATTAAAAAATTTTTTCAGTAAAAAGTCGGCGAAAAAAAAAACACGTTTTGGTAATGATCTGTTATGTTTCAATTGGGCAAATAATAAATTTAATGTTCATATTGTTGCAATGATATACTGCGTCCGATTATCAGCCGGGGCTCAAACCAAAAATGATTTTATAGATAATACATATAAATGATATTATAGATAATATAAATGAAATGTAGGAGTGAGTTCGCTCTTATCATGCAAGTGGCTTATATGATTCATACTAGAATAGACGCAGAGTGTTTGATGTATTCACTACCCATAAGGAGTCAGCTTTAATTAGAAAATTTTACATCTCATATTATGCCTGCTTAAATTTTTATTTTCTGTTGTCTGCTTATCTTCTTATAATGTACTTATTTTGGCCATAGATATCACTTTGCACTTTTGAAGAATTGATTACATCTATGAATAATTTCAAGAATATTGACGTTTTATTATACTACATATCTGGAAGTATGAAGAATTATCATGCTCATAAGCGCATGTTATACTCTTCGCTACTTTGCCTTTTTACTATAATATCAATTAAACAAGCAAAAACGTTTTAGTAGGTATTAACCGATTGAATTATACCCTGCACCTTTTATTGTTTTATAGCAATTATTCGAACCTATTTTATAGGAACTTCTCCAACAGCCTAACCCGTTGTCAGAATTGGTCCGATTGCAATAGGTTCCGTCCTTGGGACAAAAGAAAAAACTTGTGAAAGTTTCGTACTTTTTGATTTATTTGTTTTTGAGTTATCATGCGATCGAAGATGAAGCAGAATTCAGTTATACGACAGACGACTATTTTAAGTGGTTACAAACTCCATACCAAAGTACTACCATTTTTATACACTCCACGAACGTGCAAGGTATAAAAATTAACCGCTTTCCCGTTTTTCGGTTTTCACAGTGAGCCTCCTTAAACATTGGGTGAGAAGTACAGAATAAGATAACAAGGAATAATATGTAACTATCTTACAATGTATATTATAGCCTTTAACTGCCGTTTCAAAAGCAAAGAACTGGCGTTTCAAAGTAATAAGCTGAAAATATTTTGTAAAGGATTAAACGAATACGGTAACCAATTATTGTCATCAGTAAAACGTTATACGATATCAGGAATACGTGATAGTAAACGGACAAAATGAACTGTTAAACTTTATAACAATTTTATTATACCAGTAAAATTAAATTCTATTTGCATAATCGTTTAAAATATTTTTGCTCAAAAGTTAGTCAAAAAGGCGCCAAAAGTTTTACAATAAATTAGCAAAAAAAAAATAGTTTACTACTTATGGTGTTATTAATAATTTTTTATTTAAAATCGCTTTTTAATAATTTGATCAATTAAATTCATAAGTTTGTATAAGTATCATATTAAAAAATATATTATGAATAAAGCTTTTTTTAGCATGCGCATAGCTAGTTAACAATATTCTTCCGCCATTTAAAGCAAACTAACCAGAATATCTAGATTTTAGCTGAATTTTAATAACATTCCGTTAGATTTTCAAGTTCATGGGCCATTAAAATTCAATTTTTTTTTTGCATTCAATTCTTATGTTTAACTAATTTAATGTTGATACTTTAAAAATAAAATTTGCATTACGAGTCAGTAGGTAAAGGTAAACGTATGCAGACAGTAAAAGAGTTGAATTTTAATTGTAAACAATGAATAACTATGCAGAAAATTTGATCAAAGCTTTATACAAAATATTTTCGCTATAATTTGTTTTTCTTGTTTCTTGAAATATAAGCAATAAGCTTACAATCATATTTTGTTATTTTTATGCTAATTAAAGTCATTATCATAATAATGTTGGTAATACGCACATAGTATGTATGTCTGTATATTATTAATCATGCTGATTATGTTAAGATTATAATAGAAATATGATTGCCGCGCAATTTATACCTACCGCGAACAAAAATTAACGCGCAAATTATACCTACACCTACCAATATTATATACATTTTTTAATCGTTACGTCACATAAGTCATTAGGAACTAGCTGTTCTAGAGATAAGTAAATTACACACTCATATAGTTACTTCTAGTCTAACAGAATCAAAGATTAGATTTGACTACAAAATTTAAGAATTCATAAAATAAAATTATCACTACATCCCTTACCTGAAAATGCTTCTAAAATTTCATAAATTGGAGCTTAGAATGGAAATCCAATCGAATTAGTTCGCGAATCCATAAAATTGAATACACGTGACTGTAGTCATGAGAGTGTATGAACTGAAATTTAAAAAACTGGATATACTAAATTTGGAATTAATGAATGGACTACTTCAATATATTTTGAATATAATGCAATCAGAACGAGTTATAATATAGTAAGCTTCATTCAGAAGAAAAGCTTATTTATGAAACTACATTGACGACGTCATAAAATAAAAAATTTACAATTTCCGTATACCTATATTGATGACTATACAAGTTTCAGTTGAAATTTTCAAAGAAAGCACTTCTTAATCGTTGAAAAGTGAAATAAAATAAAGTAGGGTCAAACCGATGGTTTGAATTGTAGCACTTTTCCCTTCAACATGTGAAAAAACTGCTTTTAAATACAGTCTATGTGTATCTACCACATTGTATGAAAATTATTTTCATTCATATACGAAACTATTTCATTCAGGATTGCATACATTCAGGATGAACAATTTATGCAGTCTTTGAAATAAAGCAAACATTAATTTAAAGAGGAGTTAACATTATTCTCGATTTTAAGTATTAATTGTGTGAGTTAAGAAAAATAATTATATTTTTTAATGTCATGGAATTTACCGTTAGCTTTTTGCGTTTATAGAAATTTGAAAAACCTTGCGGTTTAAGGAAGCTTGCGGAAATATAAGGTGTCAAAAATTCAAATTTTACAAATTTCATGAAGCTATAACATGAGAGGGGGAGAAGGTGGAAAAAAATTTTCTTCTAACGAAATGACCTATTTATTAATGTCTAAAAGCTGTTAAAAATTCAGACTTTTGCAACTTGGGGTCTCGAAGATGAACGACATTAAAAATTTGGACAAAACGGGTTTTATTTGACGGTAAATTTTAACCGCCATTTTGTTTTTTTAAAGTTTAGTTATAGTATGCCACAATAGATATTTGAAAAATGGCATTTTTAGAGTTTTGGAGGGTACAACTTGTAGAGGGCGAGATATAGATAAAAATTTTCTTCTACAGAAATATGTTTGTAGTAAAGATCTACGTACATATAAAATTTCAGCTTTCTATCTTCACGAATGTAGAAGTTTTGTAAACAGACACATGGACAAACGGACGGACAAAGTGAAACTAATGAGCACTTTTTCTCAAAAATTTTTTGAAAAAGTGCTAAAAATTGTCAAAAAAAAGAAATAATAATAAAGTTAAGATGAACTTAACTGAGTGGTCAACTTTGTAAACCGCACGCTTATTTCACCCAGTTATAAGTAAGTGAAAAGGTAAACAATAACCAGTTTTGTATACTTCATTTTTAAGTAGGAACGCACTGTTTAAAATTCCCGTTGCCATAAATCACAAAAATTCTTTTAGATTTTTATTTCCATGAATTAAACAGTAGAAAGGACATAAACATAAGATGTCTACATGTGAATCACTGTATAAAATATATCCTATAAAATTTCTTAAGACATTATGTGCAATATTTTACATTGTTTAACGTGTTGTGGTCGAATAAAATTTATTTTCAGCCATTAAATACAATTTTTCTGACAGCAATTCAACTATTTTTTGACTTCCTGAATTTATAATTAATTGCAATTAAAGTGAAGGTCGAGAATATCATATTGTTAAAAGGGAAAAATTTTAAAATTTTAAAAGTTTATCGATTTGTCACTATAATAATTATTATTATGTATATTTGAAGATAACAAAGCATTGTACATGAAGTGGTATAAGTGGCTAATTGAATTTTACGAGATTTGCGAATAAAAATTTTATCAAATGAAATTTTTTACTGCAAAAATAACCAATAAATATTTTGTATGCGAGACAATGCTTTGTGTGGCATGACATTAGGATGCTTGTTTCAAGTTAGTCTGTAACTGAATTCTTTAGAAAACTTATGAAATGTCTCGAATATAAGTAAAATATATTAATTTCTACGTAGAATTTCACTAAAAATTTAATTCTAGTTCTAAAGCATTTTTCTAATATTTTCAAATTTTAGAGTTTAGTAGCAAGAGGTAGGTAGTTATCTATATTAAGGTTTCGATTACAAAGCATTCGTATTCATAGCTGCAACAAATCAGTTTAAAATAAAATTTCTCAAATGAACAAATTCTCAGAATTTCAGTTAACTTTTTAGAATTGAAAATCTACTTTTATGTTAGAATATAATAGTAAGAAGTTATGAATGATTAACATTTCCTATGAAAATTTACTCTTAAATAAATATTTTTTCTCTAGTAGTAAAGTTAGTATAAGCAAACTTTATTTAATTTTTTTTTTCAACTTTGAAAACCAATTTGTTAAAAATCATTTAAAATATTCATTAAACGTTACAAATTAATTACATGTGAAATTTATTACACGTGCTTTTCTTAATTTTCAATTATAGCGTAGAATATGAAAAAAATTTGCCTTCATAATGTGACTTGATTTTTAATGTTATGATTAAAAGAAAAAATGTGTAGCGTTATTAAACAGTGAATATTCTTTTAATCAAACTTTAAATTTTTAATATAAAAAAGTAGGTAGTAGATGAGACTATAATATTGATTGTGAGCGCATTCTCTGTACAGGGTGTTGACAATAAGGTAGAAAATAATTTTCCACATTTCATTTGATGATTCTTTGATCAATTTCCAGCAAAAATGAGTGCTGGGTGAGGGGGGTGTAGATATACTCGTTTCCGTGCCCGTTGAAAAAAATTGATCAAAGAATCATCCCTGAAATTATTTACAACCTTATGCGAACCACCATGTATAATAACTATTATATGTATATCGTTCGAGGCGATATGTAAATAAATATTCTTAATATGTGTTCGATCTTGTTAATGTTATTTTAATTAGTTGAAATTGAAACGAAAATAGGAAATATTAAACATTAAATGCAAACTTTAGGCATATATGCAGATTAGGTAATAATGTATAGTAAGAAATATGTACATAATATAATTATCAAACTTTATATTGCATAGATATGTGATATTTTTAGTATCTCTTAATAGAGATTGTTATAAAAACTTGTTAAGAATCAAAACAATCTACAAAGTTCAATGAATTTTATCTAATAATTTTGTTGTTATTTCTTATAAATCGTGTTTTTGTTTTTCTAAGTGCTAATTAATTAAATTGCAATTCCGGAAATTAATGTATAATTTATACTGTATTATGAAATTATTATTATAGAAGTTGACTGAATTTTTAGAAATGATTACATAAATCATAGGGTCGGCAACCTTATTCGGGTGGCGGGACATTTTCAAAATAGAATTTAGAATTTATCATACTCATTTTTGTATTTCGACCCATCTAAATTCTTTGAATAATTTGTAAATTCTTAATTCATAATTTTCATCATTAATTTTTCATTTTTTTGGTATTTTATTAATTATTTCTACAACAAAATATGAATTATTTTGCCTATAAATTGAATATAATATGTACTTCTCATTATCTAATTGTAGTGAAACGTGGTACGGTTCTAAATTTCAATATGCTCAATGCGCAAAGTGCTCAAATGAACATGAACATACAACAGCAAGCTAAGGAAATAAAAGAAAGCTTTACTTTCTGGCGGGGAGTGGGGATAAAGCTTCTGGGCAGTAAAATAAGTTTCTCATTATGCTTCAATTAGACAAATTTTTTTTTGGCAACCACATTTCGTTACTTTCACGCTATATAGGTAAGTTTTTGTATTTTAATAAATGATACCAAAATTTTATATATTAAATTTAGAATAAAATTTAAATTTTCTTAGCATATTTTCAAAAATTGATGAGGAAAGAGAGCAAGTGAATTAAACTAAACAGTGAAATGTGTTTAATAGATAATTTCATAAAACTTGTTGACGCGATAGTGTAGGTAGGAATTAATAATTTATAAGTATGCTGTCCACAAATTCTAATTAAAATTTTTCTATTCTCTTTAAAACTTACTTATTTATATTTGAAATTTGAAAAAGTGTACTAGTATTCGTAATATTCTGCTATAATTTTTTGTTATTCACAAAAGCTTAGGTGTTTGTTTTTAGCTCACCACACATAATACTTCGTGAGTAGTTGCTAGCTAGGAAGTTTCTACAGGTTTTCAGGTAAAACAATTTTTGGCTTTAAAATTCTGTGGACAAGTAATTTCGAATTATGAATTAAATATTTTTATTACTCAGATAAATAATTTATGCACATAATCATATTTTGTAAGCCAAAACCAATAAAATTTTTAAATAAACATAAGACAACGCAAATGAATAATCAATAATAAAATAGAAAAGTGTAAAATATGCAGCAACAGAAACTTAGAATGTTTAATCTATTTTAAATTACTTTTCCCATTTACTTTATATCTATATACATATTCTAAATCTGCATTCATTAAAATGATTCCGGAAACAAAATTTATATAAATCAAATTCACCATAAATTATTGAAATTTCAATTTGCATTATGTAAATATCATTTCTTGCGACAAGTCTAACAATATATAGGTGCATATTTTTGCACTTATTAACCTACAGTTCACAGTGATTTATATTTTCCCCTATAATAATAAATTGTATAAAATTTTTATACAATCTTTATTAAGAAGGATACTTATATTGTCATACTTTATACTATAATTAATATTTGTTTTAAAATTAGCAATTGAATATTTTTAAATGCATTGTTTTTTAAATAATGTATTCTAAGTATAATTTATATAATAATTAAATATTGACAAGAGTAATTGGGGGGATTCAACTTTAAAATAACATTAATTGTTTATAATGATAATGTATGTAGATAAATATGTAAAAAATTTAAATAAATAAATTTACTTATAAATTGTTTTTATTGTAGATACAAAAAGTTGATTCTATATTTTTAAAGTTTAGAAATACTTAGTTGTACTTAGTGCAAAATAATTAATGTACTACATTTATTTTGGTTTTTCTAATAAAATTATTTACAAAATGGCAAAATACTTATTAAGTTATTAATCATATACAGGATGTACATATTTTAATATTCTTTATGCAAGTAAAATTGTATCATAGTAGTAGAAATGATAATGCGGCATTTTTTTATGAAGTTTTCCAATTAAGTGTTTTTCAAAAATTATTTTCCGTCTATTTACAGCAAAATTAAATTGATAACATTTACACAAATCTTGCATTCGGCCTAATATGATAAAGTTACAAGAATGTGATTATTATGAGCGGGGGACGCACTTTTTGAAAATCGCTTAGGGCGCCGAATAAGTCAGAACCAAGCCTGATTTAGTCCCAAATACAATTCAAGAGTGATATGAAAATTTAAAGTTATTTTCAAAACTAACATTCAAATTTTTTATATTATCAGGTAAAATACAGAACTAATTGTACATTAATTAAGGTACATTAATTAAGTTTTGATAAAATGTTCATAGAATAAAGAAGTAAGAAACCCAAAAAATTAGGGGAAATTTTTGTTTGTAACCGCAAATTCAAAAGTGATGTGCTTTTAACCTTATTTGACTGAACCCAGAATTATTACCGATGAGCTATAAATGTTACTTTAGTTTTTAAAAATTCAAAAAATTTCGTACGAAATTATAGGGTTAGATAAAACTAAAAATATAAAATAAATTAAAGTTTGGTATTCCGAAAGTACATAAAATACAAAATTAACTAGACCTTTTAGAAATTGCTTGTTTGAAAGCCCTATTTTTTCAGAACGGAAGTTGTAAATAAAAAAACTTGGACACTTGGTAGAAATTTCGTGAAAATTCGCTAAAATCCCTGTGGGTCAGAAACCTTTGAAATTTGGCTTTCTAAATCAACCTGTATATATTTACAATAGAAAATTTAAATTTTCAAAATTTTTTGATATTATCACGAATAACAAGAAGATCGTAAGAAAGAATAACGTAAATTGATTGTTTTCAAATTTTAGAACAATTTTGTTTTATAAGATGCCAATTTCAAAATTTATATAACACTATTATAATTACAATATAATTTTTAAATTACCTTACAAATTTTTCTATCATTTTAGCTATTTTCAATCCTACCGGTTTTACAAAATATCTTGAATCAAAATATAAAATAGCTGATGCACTACCCCAATCTGCCATAAATACAGCATCATGTCCTTTTAATAAATAAGCTGTATTCATGTGGTTGGGCATTAAAATAATAATATTAATAATTTTAACACAAAATTTAGAAGTTTATTTAAAATATTTACTAGTTTACCATCTCTTATTGGTGTAACTGCGATATGATTACGATGTGCTCTCCATCCATGTATTATTATTTTAATATCTTTACTTTTTGGTGAAAATCTATTTCCTAATTTTGATAAAGAAGTATCATCTAATATTATATTATTGGAACGACTAATACGACTAGACCTGTTTTGAAATAATTTTAGATATTTTAATATTTCACTACATTTTTATATTTTTGAATGATTAGGGTACATACGGTTTAAAATAAAATAAATCAGTCTCTTCAATTAAATCATGGTAATTTGTGCCGAATGGAAATTTTGCAAATGTTATTTTTATAATTAAAATTAAATGAATTAAATATTTAATAAAATTGAACATGTTATCTTAGTATTTTAAAATTTAAATGTACACTTTTGATTTGACTTTTTTTTAAAGAATCGGGACTTTTGTTTTTCTTAGTATACTCCGATTATACGAACGTTTTTATCGCGATGTCTATAACTAAATGAAAATTTTAAAATTAATTTTTTTACCTTAATCTATAAAAATGTTAATAAAAAATAGTTTTGCTTATTATTTATTGTTCTTTTTTTTTTATTTTTATATTTTTATTTTCAAGTTCAAGTTTTAGAATCGATGATGTTTCATTAAAGTTTTTTTTTTCTTTACGTTCGCGTTATACGCTATACAACAATTCTTTTCTGTTATTTCTTTCGATATAGAGATAAAAAATTGTTATATCTATAGTTAGAAAAAAGTGGTATATAAGATAATATTTTTTAATATGATATATAAGCATTCGTGTATATAAGAATGTTTGCGTTTAATACAAAATTCTTCAATATGCTGCTGCTTTATTGAAGCTTTTCACATTTGATATTTTTCTTGTTTTTAACGTTGATATTATTGATAAAATTTTTATTTAATTTATAACTTATGCGGCTATAATATATTGTATTAATTATTAAATATGAAACAAGTTGATTTGAACAAAAACTTGTTTTTATTCTATTGAAAAAAAATAATTTTATTCTAATATAACTGGTATATTTGTAAATTCATTGATAACATTGTTATATATAACAACTTACTTATTATAAATTAAATATATAAGTTGTTATAATAATTTCTTGAGCCTATAAACATATTATGGTGATTTTCCGAATATTTTTATTTTTATCTATTTTAATAGCTTTAAATGCCTAATGTATGTGGTTTTAAATTAATCTTATAGTTACAAAAGATAATGTGGGTTGCACTATCAGAAATAATGATTCTATTACAAAATTACCTAAAAGAATTTGATTATTTATATACTTGTTTTTAGAACTTTTCCAAAAAAATTTAAAAAAAAAGTGCTTATTAGTTTCATTCAATCAATCCGCCCGTTTGTCCAGGTGTCTGTTTACAAAACTTCTACACCCTTGAAGATAAAAAAGCTGAAATTTTTATGTGTGTGAATAATGTGAATTGGTCTTTACTAAAAACATATTCCCGTATAAGAAAATTTTTACCAATCCCCTCCATTCCTTTCTAATAATTGTAACCACACAAATTTCTAAAAATGCAATTTTTGATTATTTATTGTAACGAAACGACAAATACTCGTATTTTTAAATTTTGCAAATGTAGAAAAGTAGTAGCAAACTTTTTCTATTGCGGCATACCATACTAGGCTCTTAAAAAAAATAAAATGGCCGTTAAAATTAACCGTAGGATTCTGAAATTTTAACAGCTTCAAAAAACGGTTTCATTTTGCTTTTCTCTTGTTCTGAAAAAATTCTTTTGTCTAACTCGATCGCCTCTCTCCCAAAGTTATTGACCGCCGAAATTTTTAAAATTTGAATTTTGATCAGAATGCTAATGCTAAATGTTAACCAAAAATATGCTTCTTTCCATTTTTGTTCTTTTTGTTCATCCTAAATGTATGCAATAGTTTTATATATAATTTGATATAATATAATGAAAATAAGTGAAATAATGTAGTAGATTACTTTTAAAAGCAGTATTTTCAGTTTTTGAAAGGAAAAGTGCTTCTCTTAAAATTATTGGTTTGATATGATTTAATCAATTATTGTCTCCTATATGATTATGTTATTTATTATGATAGAAACACAAGATAATAAACATGCTTTATAATATCATTTGGATATTAAATGATTAGAATATTTAAATAGGAAATGTGCTTTATTTTGGAATAATTCTCTCTTGTTATAATTTAATATTTTTTTTTTTTAAAAGTAATTAGAAATTTTGCTTAAAACTGTTTAATTAAATTAGAAAATTCTTCGAACTTTTAATAATTGCATGATTAACTTTATTTTGATTCAAGGTGTATAAGTTATTTTAGAATAATATTTATTCAATTTTATTATACATAGAGAATATAATAAATGATTTATTGCTCATTTATAAATAGAGAAAGGTGCAATAATAGGATAATGTGAAATATACAATTTAATTTATTATTTCCAAGAGATTGGATGAATTCAAATTTCACAAAAGCTTTAGTTTATTTTTGAATACTACAATTTAAACTACATTTATATAAAGACAAAAAATTTCTAAACAGGTTTGATTTTTAATACATATTGAATATTTATGTAAAATATATTAAATATTATGAATATTTAATATTATTTTACATTAAGTTTGAGCTAAATTTATGCATACATATGTTAGAAATATTGATTTTGTTATAATATTTATGTAAATGCCGCGAGTATACGAGTACCGCATATTGTGGAAATTTTATAAACGAGTAGAATTTTTAATTATTTAAGTTGACTGCAATATTTTTTATAGAATAATTGAAATTAAATAAATTATAGTGATAAAATATTTGTCAGACTTTTGTTTTTTAATTTAATATTCATAAAAGAAAATAATTTTGGCGAAAATAAATTATTATTTAAAAATAAAATATTTGCTCTGTCTCCATTAATATTGTGAGAATAAAATTAATATTTTTACTTCATAGTGAAGAAAATTTGAAAAATTTCAGACTTTAATTCGCTAATGGTGTATATTTTTATACCCGTACAAACCCGTATGTTTGAAGAGTATAATAAATTTGCCTTACTGTTTGTAACATTGAGAAATAATGATCTGAGTTGAGGTATAAGTGTTTTTGATCAGCGTGGAATGCTGACTCAATTTAATCATGTTGGTCCATCTGTTCACCAAATTTTTTTAATTGATTTATAATAATAAACGCCAGAGCCCTATTTAAATTGGATGTGATGGATTTGGGTAGCTGCCCTTCAACTATAGAAATTATTTGGCTATATCTTAGAAGTTGTAATATTAAAGCTGTAATATAGAAATTTTACACAAACAAATGTATTCAGGCTCTTACATTCGATAAAATCAGTTGAAATTTCTTGACTTCTAGTGTTAGCTGGCATAAAGCTTCGAAATTCATTTGGTCGTATATTAAGGAAATTATTTAAATACCAGCGCTAAAATTTTGCATAAACAAATAAAAAACCAGCAGTATTTATGGAACAGTGTGGAAAACAACGCAAAGCACTTAAAGTCATTCATTCGTACGGGTATCGCAGGAAACTTTACTTATTCTGATTTGTATTTAATTTCATACTTAAAATTTTGCAGATTTTCTTTAATTTTAATTTAGTTTTATAAGTTAATTATTAATATATATCAAAGGAGTTCTGAATGTGTTACGAATAAAAATATTATAAATTTTTTTTTTAATGCTAAATTTATAAAGTTTAGTGAAGCGACTTAAATTAGTCATTATAAAATCGGTACTAGATTATGCGTTTAATTAATTAACGTCACAGTTTTAATTTGATTTGCTATTTTTAAATTAATTTTATCTATACAATCAATACAGTGATTATAATACAACAATGTTTGTAATTGTTTCTACTTTTCTGAAAACCAGTTATTTAATAACAATTATTAGAAAAGGCGTACACACGAGTTTCATTCTTTGTACACCTTTTATTTTCCCGGTTAAGCACTTGATGTGTAGCGTTTTTTGTTTGCGATTCTATAATTACGATATGTTTTGTACATGTATCTAGGGTGTTTCCCTAAGTTTTATGAGTTTTACATGAGCTTTCAGAGTAAAGCTTAGAGTCGAATGGTACTAGAAGAGTTTAATGAATTTTTTAGTTTAACTTAGATTGTCTTTAATTGGTAAGCTAATTAAGGAGATTCGCCACATAGAGAGAAACCAATCGAGAACTTATAAAAAAAATTGTTTTCATTTGGACGTATTTGATTTTTAATTTTCATTAAATAACTGAGTTAAATAATTAAGAAATTTTCGAAAATTGGTTTTACTTGGTTTTTATGCTTACTTAATTTGTTGAATTAATATATATTAGGAGCATCTTTGTTTAAAATTTTCTTTAGACTTAGACGTCCTTGACATTTAACATGGAATGTTTTCGGACTTGATTTTAAGAGCCTGTAAATGGGCAGTTATAAAGGTATAAACAAGAATTAGGAACATTACAAATAAAACAAATAAAAATCTTATTGATTTCATTGCATTCTTTATTCATTCTCTAATTAAAAATTATATTTCAAATATGTAGATGAGAAAGTTCCAAGACCAAATGGACTTGCATCATTAGTACGCAGAAAATATGACCCTCTTGTGCTGAATTAAAATATTATTATAGTTATACATAATTATGTAAAATATTTTGAAAATTTATAGATTTACCTATTCGAAAGATTTTCTCCCATTTTTATCATATCTTCATCATTCTTTAGAATACAATCTTGGTTTATAATATTTTGTAAAGAACAAGAATATGATGGAAAATTTTGAGGAAGTTGTATACTTTCAGCATAAAGCAATGTTGCTCTTGAATGACTACATAATGCTGAAAATTTTTTAAATTTTGTTAATTATTCAACTATATAAAAACATATTGTATATACTACATACCAGCTATAAATAAACCAAATTTTGCACATCCTGGTTGTGGAATTTTTCCAAAATTTGGATAGAAATCAACATGACCTTGCTGTTGTAATGTTGAAAAACCTGGTGTTGCTGTATGAATAATATCTACAAATTTAGCATGTTTAGATTCTAAACCATCTCCAATTATTCTTTGAAAAAATTTCCCTGGATCAAGTCCTGTAATTCGTCCTATTGTTCCATTAAAATATTCTCCAATTTTACCTGCGATATGTGCTCCTAAACTATGCCCTATTATATGAATTTTGTCAGCAGAAATATTATTTTTGCTTAAAATAAAAACGATATTTATAATATTAAAATATTGAAAATTCATTGCATTTATAATGTGGAAAAAACAGGGTCATTTCGGGACTCATCTTTTTAGAAGATTAGGAATACAAACACATAATACATTTAAATTTATATTGAAAATTAATTCAAAATTACCGAATAAATTTATCTAAAAGATCTGCTAATCTTTTAGAAAGAGGTTCAATAACAAACTTAATTTCACGATATGTAATTCTTCCAATATCTTTCCAATCCGCAATAAATATGCCATTATGTCCTTTTGCTAAATATGCTAAAAAATTAAATTAAAAATTAGGCATATTTGACTGATCGAAAATCTTTCTTATCGAGAGTAAAACTTTTGAAATTTCATTATCTTACCATATTTTAATGGTGCTATAGAAACATGATTTGGATTTGCTTTCCATCCATGAATTATTATTTTAATATCTTCACTTTTTAATGAAAATCCATTGTCAATGTTTGATATTGGAATTTGTCGTGGTTGATTATTTGATATTCTTTCATCATACACAGCAAAAATTCAAATAAAATTAAAAATTTAAAGTTTAAATAATTTTCAACTTACGGATTTAAGTAATATATATTCGTTCTTGAAATTAATTCTTGATAATTCAGATCATTTTGAAATTGTTGAGTTCCAACTTGATTTAAATAATAAAAAATACAAATTAAAATTTTAAAATTAAACATTTTCGAATAACATTTAATTTGAAGCCACCATGAAACTGTTAAAAATACACTGAAAAACTGGAAGAATTAAAAATGTTGGTCTACAAAGCGATATTTTTAGAAAAGCTCTATCGAGTGTTATTGATCAAATTGCCAAATATTCGATAGAAATAATTAGTTACTAAAAGTAATTAAATTTGTTATCATTAATATTCCCCTAACTTTTGTCTCAGTGTATAGTTTTCTAATTGGTTACAGTAGGCTAAACATAAATGAGATAAGAACCTTAATAGAAATTAGTCTAAAATTGAAAAATTAAAAATATGAAGGTAACCATTGACGAATGTAATCTAATACTCGTATCAATAGTTTTATGCACGAATAAAAATTATCCTTGCATTTTGTATTCCTCAAATGTAGATTTGTAGAATTGTAGTTTTGTACAACGGGGGCAACAGTGCACCACAACCACGTATAAGGACCTATTGTGCGCCCCCTTCCGGGTGCGGGGCATGCGTAACAACACACGCTCAATGAACTCAAGCAACTTGTGAGGACCCGAAGACCGTAACTACGCCGCCGTTAGAGCAAAACCCCCAGGACCTCCCTCCTTCTATAATCAAGAGCATCACACTCCTTGCCCATCCCTATAATTTTCTTAAATCGCTTCTGGTCATAATCTCCCAGGAGCTCTTTGGCTTGCCGCAGCCCCAGAAGACTTCTTCATCGCTTCGACCGTCTCCTATCTGATTCCTTCCTTAATTCTCAACGAATAGAACAACGAAAATAACGACAGCGTTCCGACCGACTTCTCAAATGTAGAATGTGGTTTTTTTTTTGCAAATAATTCCGTTTTGTATTAGCATTTTCTTTAAGACTGGAAGGCAGTGTCTTAATTCTTTAATTCTTTTTTAATAAGTTTAAATATACATCAAATAGCTATCTAAGCCCTTAATGTGTAAATTAAAAAAAAATTTAGGAAAAAATTTGATAGGCTCGGATATTAAACACATACTTATTGTTTTTCAAATATCACATTTCTCTTTATTTCATATACAACCTTTCATACTGTTGCATTTATAACATTCCTGTAACCTAAAATTTCTCTGTGAAAGTTTCTGCAAATGATTCAGTAGTTATTTGTGTATTAATTACTGCCGGCATAGTTTGCACTGTTGAAGTTGAAGTTTGTGTTGGCTTTTCATTACTAATTGGTTTGGTTACAATTTCTTTTGTAGTTCGTTCATCAGTTGATGTAGTTGAAATTGCATTAGTTGAGGTAGAACTACTTGAAATCGAACTGGTTGATGTTGGATTTCTTGAAATCGAATTAGTTGAAATATTTGAAATTGTTTTAGTTGAAATTGGAAGAGGGCTTGTTATATATGGTTCAATATTTGAACTATTTGTAATAGCACATATTGTTGAAGTTGGAAGAGGAATTTTTTCATTAATTTCAGTGTTTGAATTATTATTAAATTTCAAATATGCAAGTGAAAACATTCCGAGACCATATGGACTGACATTATTTCCTTGCAGATAGTAAGAGCCTTTAGCACTTTTACAAAAAATAAAAAAACAAAAAAAAAATTAATTCTGATTTTTAATAAAATTTGATAATTTCTTACTTTTTCGAAAGATTTTCTCCCATAAATACAACATTTTTAGATTTTCTTAAATAACATTTTTCCTTTAGAATACTTTTAAGTGAACATGGAAATGAAGCAAAACTGTATGGTAATTGAATACTTTCAGCATAAAATAATGGAGCTCTTAGATGACTGCATGAAGCTTAGAAACAGAATGAAAAAAAATAATTTTATTTCATTAAATATTTTTGGTATTGTCTTCTTAAAATTGTACTAGCCGTTATAACATCCAATACTTCACATCCAGGTTGGGAAATTTTTCCATAATTTGGATAGAAATCAGCATGACCACGTTGTAATAGTTGTCCTAAAGTTGGTATTGCAGTATGTATACAATCGACAAATTTTGCATGATTTGGTAATAAACCATCTCTTACGAAATTTTCAAAAAGTGGTCCAGCTGGATCTAAACCAGTTATTCGACCAATAGTTCCATTAAAATAATCACCAATATTTCCAGCTATATGTGCTCCCAAACTATGACCAAGAATATGAATTTTTTCCGGAGCAATATTGTTTTTCCTTAAATTGTAGAATTTTTTGTGTTGTAATAATTTTGCTTATAATGGAAAATGTATAAAATTAATTCAAATTTGACTTTATTTAAAATTTGATGAGATTAGGTTGCTTTTTTACAATTTTGTAATTATAAATTCAAAAATTTTCTTAATTTCCTTATTCTTATCCTTCTTACTTGCTTACTTTTACTCGAATTACTTTGTTCTATGTTTAGTTTTTGAAGTTCTATTTTGTGCCGCACCGCTTAATTTAATTAAACTCACCAAAATTAATTAAATACAATTTATTTGAATTGAGTACCTACGAGTACTACATTCTATTTAATTAAACTTTATATAAACAACAGTTGCGCTTACACTAACTGAACTGAAACGCATTCGCTTGAAACATTGTAAATAAATAATAGAATAGAAAGCGAAAGTCCTTAAAAATAATAAACAAAACCAAAAACAGAATATTTTTTGAGAAACTGGTTTTAATAAGCACCTAACCCGTTTAAGCATAATACTCGTATTATGTACATAAGTATATAGTCGTGCTATAAAAAAAAGCTTTATAATGAAAGTTATAAGTAGATTTTTGTTATTTTTTTTTTAGAATTATTCGTACATAAAATTACATACATGTACATATGTCTTTATAAAATATTTCTATTTAGAACCATTTCCGGAATCTAAGTAAATGAACCGGTGTATCAAGATTTATTTTGTAATTAAAATGAATGACCTTCTGCATGCTTAGAACATGTGATGATATTCATAGACTGTAACAGTTTTGTCATTATGTTATACTTATTATTTACATTATTGTATGTAAAAGTATATAGATCTTTTGTTAATAAAATTGTAATAGTCATCATAAATTTTAATTAATGTAATAGATGTAAGCAATATATTGTGTTAAATATGGAGTTCTACGGATGGTTACAGATGATTTCTATTTATATACATATGTAGTTACATATGATATACTCTTGTTCTATATTATATTGCTTTGTTGTTGACAAGTGAACACTTGTAATTTGATATTTTTTTTTTTGTACATTTTCCAAATGCAAAAATTCTTTATAGAAAAAGATCTTAATATTTGAGAAAAATTGCAAGAATAAATTTCGTGGCATTAATATGAACTTGTGTAAGAATAAGGAATAAATTTTACGAAATACCTAATTTTTATACTTATATTTGTTTGACTACTCATATCTGATCTAATTGAGAAACTCTTGTAAATGCATATGTATACACGAAATGCAGGCCCTGTATTTTAAGTGGTTTTATGAATTCGATTTTGAACATAATTATACCGGTACGAACGTATGTTCGAAGGATATAATTATTAGATATATTTAGTTATATCTCAGAAACTATAAGAGCTGTGGTATTGAAATTTCACACAGACGAATATATTAGTAGGGCCGATGTGTTTGATAAAAGTCGTTAAAATTTCTTGGCTCTTTCTGGTAGCTGCCATACAACTTCAATAGTAGTTTGGCACTTCAATAGTAGTTTGAGAGTTCACTATGGACTAATTGTAACTAATAAATTAAGTTTATTTTATTTGTATAACATAAGTGATTTTATAAATATTTTTTTATTCTATTACCAAAATTAGCCAAAATAATAATATTTTAAAACCGTGATTTAAGATTAGACACTTGTAATAAGTGAAAATTTGATTTGAAATTCCGAAATTCTTAATATTGTATAGGTGAAATATTCACTCTCGAAGAGAATACGCTAAAGAAAATGTGAAATATTTCGTAAGATTCTTAGCTATATTTAAATTATTTTATAATTTTGTTTAGAGTTCCATAGTTTAAAGAAGGGTTGGAAAATTATATTATGAATTTTACTAATACAACATCATAGTTGCGGAATCAATAAGAATGTGCCTATTACACTACTAATTTATCTTAATGGAAATTTCTTCATGCAACTGCAGAACAGATGGATGACGTAATCAAAGGAACGAGTTAAAGGCAGAAAAATTATTCATTAAAAAAATTTTTCTCCTCGAACTGGACTCGAACCAGTGACCTACCGCTTTCTAGGCGGACGCTCTACCAACTGAGCTACAGAGGCATGAAGAAATTGCCGACGAAATGTTCTCTACATTGCTTTATACTGTAATTCACATGATTACCAAGTATTTGTTTTTTGTTTACATTGATTGCTACATACAATCCATTGAAACACACAATAACAAGAACATATATATTTATAGGATAGTGCCTATTCCACTAATTATATTATGAATTTTACTAATACAACATCATAGTTGCGGAATCAATAAGAATGTGCCTATTACACTACTAATTTATCTTAATGGAAATTTCTTCATGCAAAAGGGTTGGAAAGTTTGTCTTAATTATTTTTAGTTTCAATTTTGTTTTCTATTCTGTCTCTTTTATTGAGAATCCACCCCTTTCAAAATATGAATTTTATAATGATGACAATATGTGATAACAATATGTAGTTTTGTTATACTATGTTATAGAATTTGCATACACAGTGTCCGAAATTTGTCACAAATTTCTTAATTTGTATCATTACTTTACAATAACTAAATTGTAATTTTTTTAATTTTGACTTATTTCAATATCTTAGTGGGAAAATAATAGCCTCAAATAAAAAATTCTTTCAACATACGAGTACATACATACTTAATGAATTTTTCCAAAAGTTTTCCTAATTTAATTCCAATCGGCTTTACAAAATATCTTGAATCTAAATATATAATACGTGCTGCTTCATTCCAATCTGCTACAAATACAGCATCATGTCCTTTAGCTAAATAAGCTATTAATTAACATAAAAACACTTTTAATCCTTGTATTGTAATATTTTAATTTATGGTTTTTACCATATTTTAATGGTGATATAGAAACATGATTTCGATCTGCAGTCCAACCATGAATAATTACTTTTATATCATTACTTTTCCATGAAAATGGACTGTCCAATTCTGATATTGATATTTCTTCTGGTTGATCATTTGGAATACTTTAGAGATTTGAAAATTTAAATTAAAATTTAGATTTAAATTTTTTAAAAATTTCACATACGGATTCAAATAGAATAGATCAGCTTTTCTTATTAAACTTTGATAATTATCACTAAATTCTAATTGACCATTTAATTTATTAATTAAAGTAAAAATAATATAAATAAAATATTTAATATTTAACATTTTAAAAAAATAAAACAAATTTTATTTTTTTTTTTTTAAATTTTCATAGAACGAAATTTTTTTCTCCGATTATTGTTAGTACAATGATTTTAAGTAAATGAAAAATTTCATCATAATTTCGCTATAATATTTAGTTAAAATCTTTGTATATGTACGCATACATAGTATATCATTATAAGTTTCTTTATTATGTTATTCAAATTTTTAATGACATTAATTTAATAATATAACCATAATAAAAATGATTTTGTAATTGAAACAATTACAATTAACAGCACGGAAAATTATTCTTTCGTATAGCGAAGCTTTTTTAAAAGAATTTTTATTATAGAAAATTTCCACATAATATTCGCAACTCAACAAGTATTTGTCGCCAGTATTAAATATTATGTGTTATAAAATTCAAACACATATCTACATAATTATCCTAAATTAAAGATTTTATTAAAAAATCTAAGGAAGATGACATTGCCTGATATTAAACACAAATTAACAATAATATTAATCATTATAAAATATTGATATAGTGTAGCTTAGAGGTATTTTTTTAACGTAAAACTGAAATCGATAAGAACTACGAGTTATATACAAAATAATTAGTAAGTTTGGTTAGGTTAGGTTGCGCGGCCTCCCGAAGAGTAATTTTAGGCCACCTAGGCCCGTTCTGGCGACACCTTGCCCGAGTTCCTCAGAAATCGACCAAGTTCCGTAGCAGTTACATTCTCTAAGTTCTTAGTCCGCTGAAAAAAGTGGGAACCAAGAAATCTCCGCCTTGAGGTCCTCAGCTCCTACAGAGAACGTTTGGTGGACCACCCATCCTCCTGGCATGATCACTAATCAGAAAGTGTCCAGTTAAAACTTCTATAACCGCACCAATTTCTCCCACCAGGGAAATATCAGTTCCCTTGTGTTACGCTAGTCTAGCTTTTGTCACAAATTTTCCATTGCTAGTGAGCTAATTTTGAAAGAATAACTAATTCGAAAAAAAAGTACATTTTTCATTTAGTTCTAATTATAATTCCTATCGTAAATAAATTAAGAGAAATAGTAGTATACAAACATATTTGTTTTATAAAATGTTTGTAATTATAAAATACGATTACCCCGCAGCTACAGTGTAACTATGTCAATAGTCACTTCATTTGAAAGTAAAATGCTAACATCATTATTTTATATTAGATGATTAATTCATAACATTGTTAGATTTTAAAACCATTTTCTTAATTGAATTAAATAATTGAGAACAATAACCGTTTATTAAGATCTTAATATTACTGACACAATATAAAAATAATTATATATTATTTTGGTAATTAAAAATAATTATTATATAGTGACTTTAGAATTATACTTATTTTATTCTAAAAAGAATATAAAACTTTTTATTTTAATATAATATTAGATTCTAAATCTATTATATGAATATAGCTTTAGAAGGTATTCAATTTCAATGTCAGAATGAATTCTTAACAATTTCAATATTAATATTAGTATATGTTATAAAATCAAGCCACGTTCCGCTTTATATAAAAAATTCAAAATAATTTATATAGTACAAGTTCATAAAAATTATATAAGGTAAGTTTTATATATTTATTAGTCACATTATAATTAGACTGCATCATTGGTTTTTCTACTTTAATTCTAAAATTAGATTCAAAAATATTTAAATTCTTTTAATAGTTCTAGATTATCATCATCAATTGGTATAGTTAAGCCCAGTGACATATCTACCATATATGAAAAGTAATCATTTGTAATGACGGCCGAAAAACAGGGAAAAAAATAAAACTGAATTTAAAAAATAAATTTCCATTGTGTTTTCCAAAAATTTTTGCTTTCTATTTACATTGAAATAACCCTGATAATATGGTCCATATATTCAAACATTATGAACCAAAAAAGCTGAATGTTTGTTTCCAGGCTTGATACTATGACTAATCTTGCATTCAATATGATAAAGTTGCAAGAAAGTGATTTATTACGCGCAATGTTCAATGTTTATTGAATATTGTTCATTGTTTTGAGAGTAGTGAGGGGGCGGCTCTGCCTGGAAACTGCATTTCAGAGTCTGTTTGAAATTCGTTATTAATTTTTTCTAAAAATATCAGGTTAACATTCTAGAATTTTAAACAACAAATTTTTTTAATTCTTATATTAATTTTAATAAAATTAAATTTTTACTATTATTTCTAATATTAAAATGTTTATGCTCGTCTAACAATACAAACTAAAGTATTCCAACACAAAATCAATCCAAAATTGAATAAAGTCAAATATTAAACATTCGTCATGGAATGTATATACACCAAGTGCTTGTTAAACATTTAAACAATAATTCCAAAAATTTTGAATACACATGTTATGTACGTTATGTATTTTAAAAATATCAACTGTAAAATGAATTCAATGGCAACATTTTTACCATTATGTTAACAGTTTAACATTTAAAATTAAATCAAATAAACATTGAACAGCTTTTTAAGTATTGTCATTGCTATTTTATTTTTATATCGTAAACTTTATTCAGCTATTTTAATGTATTACCGTAAGCTTTAATAATTGGTTTGTATCCCAACTATATTGAAAAATATTTTTATACATAATCGGTTAATCGTAAATAATATTGATATAAAAATTTACCGGTCCAACGGTTGCCTTGAAGAAGAATGCAGAATCATAATTGAAATTAATTTCTTCTTTTAGAAAAAATTCAAGTATTTCAAATTAATTTTAAAAATTGTGATGTTATTATTGATGAATTATGAAAATTTATTTATAGTGAGAGGAATATTAAGGTTTTTTCTAAATTTAATGAGAAATATGGATAGGTTTTCAAAAAAAATTTAAGTGATACCTAATGTAGTAATTTCATTATAAAATCATAAGAAAGAATACATAACATAATAATCGGGGATTTTTGATAATTCGGAATTCAGACCGATACTTCTAAATTAAATTTTGAAAATTTATTTATACATATTTACAATACAATTCTGCAAAAATAGAATTTTTTACATTTGCAGATTTGTAGTATTTTAAAATTATTTACTATAAAATAACGCAAAAATTACAAAAAAACTTGTTCGTGTAAATCTTCAATATCTGATATTTTTACCGCCCACAGTGAATGTAATAAAGGACGTTATTTGATGGCACCCACTTTTGAATGTTGAGTTTCAGATGGGAACGTACTTCTTCACATTAGGGAAGCCTATAAATAAAATATTTTCAGAGAGACGTCGGTCTGTAGGTCTGTTGGTCTGTGTGTGCACGCGTGTATCTCAAGTTCGACTGTACTGATTTTTGAAAATTGTTTCATGAAAATCGAATTACATGGTGAGGCTCAGGGATTATATATCTTAGAATATAATAAAGGAGGTTATGTGATGGCACGAACTTTCGAATGTTGAGTTTTCGGTGGGACGCACTTCTTCGTAGTAGTGAAGCCTTAATAATTTATTTTCAGAGAGACGTCGGTGTGTAGGTTTGCTGGTCTGATTGTGCACTCAAGTACACATCAAGTATCTCAAGTTCGACTGAACCAATTTTTAAAAATCGCTTAATGAAAATCGACTTTCATAGTAAGGCCCCTGGGTTATCAAAATATTTGTTTATAGTAAAATGAACTGCGTGGTAACAATAAATTCCAAATTCACAGGTAAAATTGTACTCGTTCCAAAAAATATGGGTACGAGTGATTGTTTTACGGTCAAGCAGATTATGTAAAAATTTAAGTATTTCACTGACCTTTTTACCAAAATATATTTTTAAACTATTTCTTAAAATCAAGTTTAATTTCTGTTAAAAAATTTTTTAAAAAAATTAATTTCACAAAAAATACCTCAAATAAATAAATATTTTAACTGAAATTTGTCAACGCTTTAAATGAAGTGTTCAACAAATTTTTTTTTAATAAAATCAGAAAATTTTTCAATAAAATTTTTTTATGTTTTTAATTAATAAATCATTGAAAAATCCAAATATATTCAATTAATTATGTATGTACGCACATATTATGAATTTTACTAAAAATGGAGTAATTATGTGATCTGTACTTGTTGCTCCTGCTTTGTAAAAATCTTCAAAAAAATTTTAATTTTATATTGTGGCTGCAAACACAATAAAATATTTTACTCTATTTTAATATGCTCGCATATGTATATATTAAACCAATCCCAATAGCTATATTAAAATATATATACATACATATACATATATAAGTAAATTATGTTATTTTTTTTTATTGATTCAAAACTTTCACCGATTTAGTTAAAAGGATGACAAGAAATTAAAATATTTTTCATAATATTTTTATTGATTGATTGACTACTGAAATACCATAAACACTTTAGTCAAAGAGAAAAAGAAAAATCACGTAAATATGGATGAAACATTTTGATATTCGTATAATAAAATAATTTGAATTCTTTTTTTAGTGATCATTTTTGAATCGTTCCGTAACGAGTACAGGTAATGTATATGATAACAATGCACGTCTTTGAATACAACTATACACATATTATAAAGTATTATACTTGCATTTTTATATTGTACACTTTTGTTATATAATATCGTAAACATACATACAATATCATTTAAAAAATCTTTTAAATAATTCAGAAGAAAAGAAAAAAAATTACCAATTCTGGTGCAAATAATGCTAATATTGTTCTCTAAATGGGCTTTCTTCATAAATCACGTCGTTTTATAATATTTAGCTCTGTGCAACGATATGAAATAACCCAGGTTTTTTGTTTTTTCTTTCTTTTCTTAAATTTTCATTTAATTATTTGGCAATCATTAAAGATTTTTTTTTTTGTTGAAAAGATTTGTTTTTGGTTTTCAACTTCGAATCATCATGTTACAAACTCCTGTTTAATTTCGAATTGAATTATAAATTTGTTACTTGGTTTATAGTTATAAAAAATGAAAAAAAATCGGGTTCAATTAAATTTATTGCTGTGTTGAATATGGAAAACATATAAACTGGTACCACAACTGGCGCCATCAAACTATTAGTGCACA